GGGGGGGGGTTTAGTGCGAGGAAAGGTAGAAACAGTCACATAGGTATGGCTATATAGTAAGCATTTCCATTTTAACTCCCTGTTTTTATTTGCTTATTTTCTAATGCTCATTTAAGCTCATCTGTTGTTGAAAGACATTTTCTTTTAAGTGATAAAAATTAACACAGTTGCTTTAGAGTATGAGGAAAATGCAAGATCTATAGCCTCCCTTTAAAAAAAAACAAAACCAAACCTTTCAACTTTTCCTAAATAGCTCTAAAATTAAAGTAGCTCACAGGAGAAAGCTGACACTGGTATGGGGAACAGGCCTCCAAAAGACATCCTGATTAATTTTACACTCTGATTGGGAACAGTACATTTTTTGGAGTCTTCTCATTAAGTTCCAGTGTATACCCAAACCTCAAGAAGGCCATGCCACATCCTCACATGGCTCAACTTCACTGCACAGAATAAAATGTTACAGAAGTGAAACAATGGTGGGTGAAGCAATGTCTCTACAGACATGCTACCTCACGCTGTGAACACTGCACAGGAGATAGGAGCGGTACAGATCGTTAGAGTTCATGGGGAAAAGGTTATTTCCTGCAGACCTTGTAAGCTGTGTTCAACAGGGCATTCCAGTGGTGTTTAGTCAAACTCTTTCATATTACAGGATGTTTTCTTATCTGTTTTTCCTCTTTTAAAAAACCCTAGGAAATTTCCACGTTTAAACACCTATATTAAATGAATTCTAAGTTTTCATCATCAGCCACAAAAGTCAGGAAATGAAAATGATGAGGTTACATGCTGCATTATCCCTTTGTACACACATACATTTAAAATATGCCTTTTACTTACAAAATCACATATATGTACATAAATATCTCAAGGCTTGATTCTGACATTTGTCACATCATGCTTCCCATTTGGATCAATGGGGAATGCAGGTGTTCTAACACATTAAAAGTCAGACTGTAAAGTGAAGATAAATTGCAGTGGTACAGCAATGAAAGTTGCACAAAAATATTAAAAATATATTACAAATGATACTCATGCACTTAAGACTGCAGAAAAAATTGATATTGTAAGGAACAGAAAATGATAATATAATTAAAGGCTCTTTTATAACGTATATGCAAAAAGGGTAAATTATTATTGCATATGCAACCTTCACTTTAAGTACTCAAGAGGCAGGACATGTTAACTAAAACAGCCTGTCAACAATAAGTACCGGTTCCTTTTAAGATAACCACTCTTCTGACTTTTTAGCCAATTTTTGTTAGGATATTTAGGGTTTCTGTGACTAAAAACTCCAGGAAAAATGGTCTCCCCTTTTCCTGGTTTATTTTCCATATAATCAGTTCCTCCTATGTATGCAGGTCTTTTCTCAGAAACACTAGAGAGAAAAGAAAATTTAACACAGAAGTGTAATTGCTAGTCCCCACAAATTGGCAAAAGGAGTCAGTAACAAGCTAGTACCTGAAGCTATCCTTAATTCAGGGATTTTTTCATCATGTGAACCACATTTTAATATAGATATTGTCTGATTAATCACCTTCTATAAAAATGCCTCAAGGCTACGAATTTAAAGAGGCTTAAGGGAAATTCAATGGAAGTGGCTGCCTCAGGCACCTTGAACGTCCCGGCTTTAGTGAAGTTTTGCTGTCTTTCATTGCAATGCAATGAAATGAAGTGTAGCCACTACTATGTAACCAATCCATTTTCTGTAAAATGGCAGGACTCTAAATACCTCTGTTTGAGAGCCTCTTATTATCCCCCTACCTTTTTTGTTTAAAAAAAAATCCAGATTCAATTTTAAGTACACAAACTTCATATTTCTACACCAACCCTTTTTCTTTTCAAATTAGATTTAAGATACGATCTTATCCTATTTTTTATTCATATTTTCCAAACCCATTTTAAAATCTGACTGCAGAATTTGTTTATGAAATTCCACACATGCTGGTTTAAAGACACGGTGAGGTTAACATGTACACAACAAAAAGTTTTAACAGAGGGCTAGTACATATTAGCTTCAATCTTAACTTCCACCATCCTGCAATAAACAATATTCCTGATCAATTGTTTGGTTAGTCGTAATAGCAGCAGGAATGTATTCCTGGCTCCTATTGTCTCATTTTCAGCACAAATGCATCTTGCTCCCTTAATAAAGACCCTCCAGAGGGAGAAGCAAGTAACTAGGTAGTAAATTATCCCTTTAGGTCCAACTGTTAGGGGAAACAGTAATCTGGGCACTGCCTGAGGGCTTCACAATGACTAGGAGAGATCAGAAACTGATGAAAAGGCACTGTTCCTTCTAACAGCTAAGGGAAGGATGGGAATTCCCAGAACAAGGCAATGAGAAAAGGACATTTGTGGATAAAAGGAAATTGTACTAACAACTTCTGCCTAAATTAGCTTTTGTGCATGAACCTGGACAGGACTGACATTTGCAGTCACCAAACCCACCCTGAATTATAGTGTGCTCTTAATTTTTTTTCAAGCCTCCTGCACACAACCCTCATTACCTTGCTGTGACCACTACAGAGCTCACAAAGCGGGGCTCCTCCCCATCAATGATCCTGTGACTGTATGCGCTAAAAGGCCCACTTGTAATAAACTACTTCACACCCCACTGTTGCCAAAAATGAATGCTAACTTGCATTTATCAAATAGGGGAGCTTTCATTCATGGCAATGCCAGATTATCATTCTGGGCGGCAGATCCCATCAGTTAGCAAACTAGAATGAACTGAATTAAATAGGTGGGACAATGTCCCAATCCCGAAAACTCATGAATGAAAGGCCACAAACCCTTTTAGTTGCTATGCATCCTGCTTAAAGCATGTAGCTGACCCTTTGCGGTCAATCAAAACCAAGCTGATACCCAGTTGATGAATATGCTTCAAACGACAGAAATTTCTTTAAAAATTGGGCCTTACAAATTTAGCGCTGTATTGAGAATAAAATCAAACAGATGGTGATGCTAATGATCCGCAGTACACCACTGAAAAACACTCAAGCCCTTAAGCTTTTGGACACTTATCAACTATGTAAAAGTTGTTTCCCTTTAGAAGCCAGTAGGAAGGGATCATATCGACTTTGGAAACTGAACTCAACACATCTCACAAGTATAGGTCTTTACCTGTTTATACCTTCCTTGGTGTAGAATACAGAATAGGTAAGGTTGTCTCCCTGAGGATCTGATGCAGGTGTCCGCCACGTCAGTTTGATGAAGCGAGTAGAGACGAGGGTGGCCACGACATCCCGAGGGGCAGAAGGCAACGGTCCAGTTGTAGCTGGTGCTAGATGGTCAGTAGTGGCACTGGTCAGTGAAGTGGGAGGTAATGTTGGGATGGCAACATCTTGGCATGTGCAAACATTGGGGAATATGAAGGGCAAACATCACGACGGTTTAAAAAGAAAAAATGGAAAAAAAAAATCAAAAGAAATAAACAAAACCACGATGGGAAACAAAACAAAATGAACACACACAAAAAAGGCCATTAAACTGAAGGCTGACATGCAGGCAAAAGGTAACTACTGAAAACTAATGAAAAATATTAAAGGACATCACTGTAGGGCAAGCAGACTAAATCTCCATTGTAATGGAAGTGGCAAGGGAAACGAAAGGGTGAAAACTGAGGATAAAATATCACCTCATAAGAGGACGACATATCAGTGCTGAACAAAACTTTTTTTAATAAGTCATACGTATTATTTAACATTTGGAAACAAAACCAAAATTCAACTTGCATTTCCTATTTGACAGTAAGTACATTTAAACCAGATTTTCTACGTTACTTGGTTAAAAAGGAATATTAAACTGGTCTAGCGTCAGTTAAAAAAAGCAATACCTGAATTACATAAAGCTCATTAAAGAGACTCTGCAAGTTTATGCGATTTTGCTGTACAAATTAAGACCAAGGTCGGCCACCTTGGGTGGCCAAGCTGTAGCATGCGTGCCACAAGTGGGATGGGCAGCCTGTGTGTGTGGCATGCAGCAGACCAGGGAGGGGGCAAGCAGCATAGCAGCAGGCACAGCAGGAAGCAGAACAGCACAGCAGGCAGGGAGCACAGGGAAGGAAGCAGAAAGCAGAGCAGCAGACCAGGCAGAAAGCAGATTGGACAGGGGAAGGGGATCAGACTGGCACTTGGAGAGGTAGCGGGGCTTAATTTGTGGCATGCCTGCCAGACAGGCTGGTCCCCACTGTTTTACACACACAAGCAACCTGCTTTGTTGTCTCATGTAACTAAGGCAGTGCTTCCCAAACTTTGTCTTAGCATGATCCCATTTATGGCCCCAGTTCTTCAGCATGGCCCCTCACTCCCATCCCACAGGCCCCCACTCTAGCGACCCCATCTGCTGATGTTGAACCCTATTTGTGGTCGCAACCCACGATTTGGAAACCGCTGAACTATGCGCTATCCAACTTCTACGTGGCAGGCTGCACCAGCAGAAGCTGCACACTGCATGGGGGCCCTCTCCCCCACTGCGCTGGCTCCACCCTCAGCTTTCAGCCTGCAGTGCCAAGGGAGTTTGTGACCTATCTCACATGAAAACACCTTGCACCCTAGGGCAGGGGCAGGAAACAGAAGCCGGAAGAGAAAGGGGAACCGGAAGACCCTGGCTGCTGCTGCTGAAGCTGGGACAGTGGAGGGAGCAGTGGTTGGATTCCTGAAACTGCAAATTAACCCCTCAGGTGTTGCATGTAGCCCATGGGCTGCCAGTTGAACAGCCCTGGTATAACTGATATACGCAGGAATTTGGGTTGTGATACAGCCATCATATTATGCAGGATAAACTTCCTAGGCAGTTGATACATGAGGATTTTTCCTCCCAAAAGAGGTCCTATTTCCATCCAAAAAAAAATTACTTATCCCTGCCAACTGCTTCTCATTCCGTCTTCTTTTGCAGAGCTATATTGTTTTAAATATACTATGTTAACAGCACCTGACACAATGTTTCTTGGTAGCGTGCTGAACCCTATGCAAACTTTGTTTAAGTCATATGTGGCATACGTAATACATTCTTTTAAACTGGGACAAATCGCTTGGATTAATGTTAAAAGTAGCTAGAAAGTGCATAAACAGCTCTGTCCCAACTCCTACTAAGGCAAACCATACAACCACCCAGTAAATCTAGTGCTTATATTCTGTGTAGGAGAAACAAAATTATAACCATATAGTAAGTGACAGAGGTAGCAATACCTATAGTTATAGTCACCCAACATTTTTCTGTAAGAGATTTTTGTTAGTTTTTCACAAATTTTCCCAACTTAAACCATGCAGACTGAAATTCTCAGGCTGGTTTGTGTATATGTGGTGATGGCGGCTCTTAAATTTGTATCTCAAATGGTTCGGTCCATTTCGTAACAAGGATAGAGAAAATGTCTCTATCATTTTTAACTTCCTCTCTCGAAACTGGAGTTATTTTGATATTTAAAATCAACTAAAAAATCACTCATATATGCTATGTAGCTTGAATCACATTTCAGGTTGTGTGTTTAATCCTGGACTCCAATAAAAGAGAGACCCAGATGTAAGTGCTGAAAATTCTCAGAATTCTGCTTCATTCTTCAGCTGACTATAGATTGATATAAAAAGTACTTAGATAGTTACAACATCAAAAGGAAGAATATAGTAACAACTGTTTGCACCACAGACACAGCTGCAATATTGGTGGATGATATGCATGTTATCAGTGGCAAGGAAAATGCTACAGACTGAATAAAATAGAAGTCTAGGAACAATAGGAAAGCAAATCTATGCAGACATCATAAGTGAAGAGAAGACTGCAACTGTTGTCAGAAAAAAAGGTTAAGAAAAATATCAACAAAATACGTTCTCGCATGTAAGACAATCTACAAGAACTCTCTTCTCTTGGTTTCTTTTTTAAGCAACTGCTGACAATGTCACTAAGACAGCTTTAACAGCACTAAGAATTAACCTTTATATCATTTTCATACTGCAGATTCAGTGCTTTAAAAAAAAAGGTTTTGTGTAAAACAGCTAGAAGCACTATTCTTTGGCTGACAGCTTAGAACACCTACATTTATCAGACTCTGGAGTTTCATCGAAGCCAAGGAACAAAGCCTATTTAATATGAAATGATCATACATACAATATCTCAGACAAAAAACTCTTCTCTTGGGCCAGAGGACTGTTAGAAATAAGATAATATCCCTCCTATCTCTTCCTTTGATTTAGACCTTGCATTCCTTCCCCTCCCCGGGAAGTTGGCAACCTTGACTTCTCCTTCTGTATCTGATCTGCCAACATGCCATTATCACTTTGTCATGTATTCCACCTCTGCTGAAGTTCCCATCCACGTTTTTACCTCCTCTCTCTTGTCTATGCTGTCCATTTCTGGAAAATCTTAGTCCTGAGATCTGTCAACATAGGCATAGCCACCTTGACCATTACATTTCAGTTATACTTGTTATTGCTGCAGTAGTGTTACTGGAATTTCTTTCTTCAAGAAAAATATATTGAAGGTATTGTTCAAAGCATGCAAATCCTGAGATTATTACTTTGTACTTTTGTTGTAGGGTGCTAGAAGTTTCAGACAAGCAGAGGATCTACAGTCACTTTCTTCTCAATACCCACTTCAACTAACAGAACATAGAGAAAGCCACTGGTTGTTTTCATCCATAGAACAGTGCAATCATCATGCCCATAACCCCAATCTACCCCAGCAGTTTCATATTCATATCAGAATCCAATCTTTTTCTTTAACTGATATCTAAATTTGTTTGGGGGATTTCTTCTAGACCAGGGACAAGATTCTGACCCTTGTGGTGCCAAGTGGTGGCTGTTGCAACCCAGGAAAGAATTTTCTTGGTGAAGGAGCTGCACAGCATTGGCATGTGTAACCTCCCACTACTACATCTCGTACTCCTTTGTGTAGTGGATGTACCAAGGAGTAAAGGGGTATTTCAGGAACTGGAAAAAAGTGTAGCCACAGAATTCAGCATTATGGACTTTTCAAGCTGACTGGTGCCAGAGGCATTTTTTCATGTTACAACAACTCCCAGAGTAGGCAGTATCCAGTATTACCAAAGGTAGTTTTAAAGCTGTCAGGGTCTTTTGCATAGCTTCTCACAGGGCAGAATCCAGAACCCTGTCAGTGCCCATCTACTCTTCCTCTGGTCATAAATAAAACATTGTTGATGATTAGGCTCTGATCCAGAAAGCACTTTAACACATGTTGAATTTTAAGCTTGCACACAGTCCCACTTAAGTCAATAGGGATCCTTTCTTATCAAATTAAAGTACATGCTTAAGCTATGCACTGAATTAGGTTCCTAATCACTGAAATTTCTTTTATTCTCTCCATGGGGCACTGTCATTATAGATGAGAGAGCATAAAAGTAGTCTCCTCAATGGCTCTATGGATGTCTCTGCTTCTTTCTCATCTCATTTTATATTTCAGCTGAAAATAAATCCCACCCCTCTTGCAGATGCTTTCTCTCCTCCTATTAGGAACTCTGTTTTTTTATTCAGTTCCATGACAGAGTCATGGTTCATGTAATGGTTAATACTAGACAACCACACAAAGCAAAGTTGCATTGTATGGACTCCACTTCTAAAGTTTTCTGAGCCATGTTTTGTATCCTGTGAAAATAAGTGCTCTGTTCACACTAGATAACATTTTCTAAAGCATCCCAAAATTTCAAAAACTTAAGACTCACTGATTTTTCCTGGGATTTTGGCACACTTGAAAATGTTATTCACATAATTCCAAACAGCAGCTATTTCATTGGCTTGACAAACAAAGGAAGTCAATCGTAACCACCCTTTAAGGTACCTAGCCTAAATCTGGGAGGAGTAAAGGAAACTACTGTAATATCTAGGTTCTGAATTATAAGAAAACACATTAGAAAAAAAAACCTAACAAAAACCCACAAAAAAACTAATTAGCAAATCCTTCTCTACTACAGCAATTCTCCTTGCAGAAATCCAACACTTATTGACATTCTAAACACAAAAACACGCATCTACAGACTACCTTAGGTTAATATTTTGGTTTCCATTATGTTGTCTTGGTGATATTGTCAGATGATGTGTTTAAATTATAAGCTCTGTGGGGCAAAGAACTTGTCTTATCTATCACTGAAAATTGTCATGTTTAATTAAAATGTTATATAAAGATTATTTAAATAATTAAACTGAAACCCAAGTACTTGATGAAACCTGCCCCTTTCACCAAATAACACTAATTAAACAGGTGAGATAAAAATCCATCCAAATGTGTACTATATATTAATATTTTCATCTCCATATAGAATGAAACACATCCATTATTTGCTTAAAGTCATGTGCATACTGGAGTTGCTCAAACCTGTAGGCATCAAACTGAAGG